AGTTAAGAACGGTTCATAGCCACCATGTGGGTGCTGGAACTTGAACCCAGGTCCTCTGCAAGAGCAGTCAGTGCTTTTAACCACTGAACCATCTCTCCAGCCCCAATAATAAAATTTTTAAGTTAAAAAATGTAAAAGATTGAGAAAGGTTTCAAATAGGCAGAGAATGTAAGGTTTTTGTCACAGGCTTTTCCTGTCTCTATTAAGATAATATGATTTTCCCTTTCATTCTATGTAAATAACAGAAAACACAAATCAACTAAATTAAACCAAAATAATTTTTTACTTATTTTTGTCTTATGTGTATGAACGTATTGCCTGCATGTGTGTAAGTGCACCCATGTCATGCAATGCCCAAGGAAGTCAGAAGAGGGTGTCAGATTTCCTGGAACTGGAGTTACGGAGTTGTTAGCTGCCACGTGGGTGTTGGGAATTGAACCTGGGTCCTCTGCAAGAGCAGTCAGTACTCTTAACCACTGAGCCATCTCTCCAACCCCTACTTATTTATTTTTTAAAAAATATTTATTGGGGGCTGGAGAGATGGCTCGGTGGTTAAGAACACTGGTTGTTCTTGCAGAAGACCTGGGTTCTAATTCCAGCACCCACATGGCAGCTAACAACAATCTGTAACTCCAGTTCCAGGGGCTCTGGTGCACTCTGCAGGCACTGCATGACACGGTACACATGCAGGCATAACACTCATACACATACATGCAGGCATAACACTCATACACCACATAAAATAAAAACGGGTCCCGTGACTCATCTGCTCCGTTGCTGGTGAGTCCCTGCTTCTCTGCGTCTCTGTGGGTCTCTGCTACCGGGGCTGGCCTGGTCAAATTCCGCCCCAATTTCACCCGTGCACTCTCTCTCTAAGTTCGGGACCCGTCAGCTGCCGGGTCATGAGGAGAGGTGCGGGACGGCTGAAGCTGGATTTCCGTGAGTTGATGACGTTGATGACGGAAGGATAGCGCCCCCTGGGGAGGCTGGATCGTAGGCAGTAAGACACAGGACTCAGCTCAGTCTCAGTGGTACAGCCTTTATTCAGTGACTCTGCTCGGCTCCAAGTCTTGGTGATCAGCTCCAATTCTAGCTCCAGCTCCAGCTTCAATTATTGAGGGGAAACCAGGAAACTTATACTGTGGGGGCAGTGGTAAAAGCCTTTAGCTGATAGGTACTTTGTGGGATGCCCTTATTTACATATGGAAGTGGGCTCCTGCCATGCTGCCAGACTGCCTGAAAATCACACAGGAAAGCCTGGTAGTAACAAAGCCAGAGGCTATGTTTATGGTAGGGCATCTGTGGCGGGCACTTCAAAACATGAGTCAGGAAGATGCCAGAAAAGCACTCTGTTGAAAAAGGAGTCCCTGCATTTGAAGCTGAGCCCATGGGCTATCCGGACATGAAGGGACTTCTACTTTACACAACAGGGGTTCCCAACAATGGTTGTTAGCCACCATGAGGGTGTTGGGAATCGAACCCAGGTCTTCGGCAAGAGCAGCCAGTGCTCTTAACTGCTAAGCCATCTTTCTAGTCCCAAATTCCTTTTACTTTTATCTAAAAAAAATTTATGAGACCAGTGAGATGGCTCAGTGGGTAAAGACACTTGCTGCCAAGCCTGATGACCCAAGTTCCATCCCTGAGATCCATATGGGGGAAGGCAAGAACCAACTCGTAAAAGTTGTCCTCTGACCTCCACACCTGTTTTGCCATACACACACACACACACACACACACACACACACACACACGCAATAAAGAACAGGTGCAACAAGGGGTCCTCCATTAAAGATAGTTCCAACAATGTAGCTCTTGCATTTAATTTGTTTTTGTTCTGTTTTGCAGTGCTGGGCTCAAACTCAGGGCCTCCTGTATACTAGCTAATTGCTATACCAATGAGAACTCCAGTCCCACTGCATGCTGTGACTTAAGTATAGGAGGGAAATCTAGACTCATGCAGATCACAGCCTATAAACCTATCATTACAATCCATTCCCAGGGAAATCTCTGGAAAAAATCCTAAGAAAGGTGTTTAGTGCATTAGAAAAAGAGACACTTCAAGCCAAGTTTTGAGGCTCAAGCCTATAATCTCAGCTCTCTACTCTGATGGAGGCTGAGGCAGAAGGATCAGGAGTTCAAGGACAGCCTGGGCTACAAAGTGAATTCAAGGACAGCCTGCCTATGTGAGACACTGAACCACACACACACACAGACAAAATAATAAAAAAATAAACAAACTGGGCATGGTGGTGCACGCCTTTAATCCCAGTACTCTGGAGACAGAGGCAGGCAGGTCTCTGTGCATTCAAGGCCAGCCTGGTTTACATAGGAGCTCCAGGCCAGTCAGAACTATACAATGAGACACTGCCTCAAAAATAAAAGCCAGGTGTAGTGGCATACACCCTTAATCCCAGCATTTAGGAGGCAGAGACAGGTAGATCTTTGTGAGATTAAGGCCAAGTTCCAGCATAGCTGGGACTATAGGGAGACTCTGTCTTTAAAAAAAAAAAAAAAAAAAAAAAAAAGCAAAAAAAACTACAAAACAAAGAGGCAAGAAGAATAAAGTTCCGTTTCTGGATGCTGAGATGGCTGAGATAGCCATCTTTCTACCACAGAAAGGAGCTGGCTGGTGTGTAAAGACGGTGTGGTAGAAATATGACGATACTCATGAAGTACTGGGCTAGCCCATCTCTCCTGCTAGATGTATCTGTGTGCATGCATGCATGCATGTGTACATGCATGTGGAGTCCAGAGGTGAACCTCAGGTCATTCCTCTGGAGCTGTCCATATTGGTTTTTGAGCTAAAGTCTCACACTGAACTGGGGCTAGCCAATTTAGCTATGTTGTCTGACCAGCAAGCACCAAGGATCCTCCTGTCTCCCCTTGTACTGGGATTACAAGCACATACCACCATGCCTGTTTTTTTATGTAGGAGCTGGAGAGCAAATTCAGGTCCTTGTGTTTGCACAGCAAACACTTACTGAGCTGACTTTTTTTTACATGAGAGGACAGAATTTGGGTCCTCTTGGTCTTGCAGCCATTGCTCCTAAGTGCTGTCATCTCTCCAGCCTCCAAAATCTTTTTTATAACCCTTTTTTTTTTTTTTTTTTGGTCTTTTTGGGACAAGGTCTCCCTGTAGCCCCAGCTGTTCTGAAACTCACTATGTAGACCAGGCTGGCTGTAAGGGAAAGAGGAATTTACTGCTTGGTTGAATTTACTGCTTGTAACCAATTAACTGGAGACACAGGCATCCGGAGATAGGGGCAAGTGCTGCAGCCCCCGGAGGCTGACCTGTCTGATCTGTGTCATGTCACGTAGGCATGTCTGCTTACACAAGATAACAGGGAAGGGTCGCGCCAGGCACATACCACCCATCCCTCCCCGATTGAGACCTGAAGGGAGTTGTAACATTTTTCTTGTTTTGAAGTTATTGGTTTGTGAAATGCTTGCTTTGAAACTATTGGTTGTATAAACACGGGCTTTTGTGTAACGGTTGTGGGAGCCTATATAATCTTTACCTGAAATTGCCTCGGGGTCGATCGCTCCAACCAGACCTGCGTGTCTTGGAAGGACGGTCAGCCCCAGCTAGCTGGCCTAATAAAACTCTGCTTGATTTTTGCATCTCCATACTCGTGCGTTTGTTCTCCTGAAGAGACCCACCGAGTCATGGACCCTAACACTGGCCTCACAAAGATCCGCCAGCCTCTGCCTACCAAGTGCTAGGATTACAGGCAGGCGCCACCACGCCCAGTTTATAACCCTAACCTTTATAATACCTATTCTGGTTTGCTTCATAGGAGAGGTCACAGAGGCCCCAGTGTCACCTCTGATTGTTGCTGAAGGGTGAGGGATGGGGCTCAAGATGGGACTCTAGTGTGTACTGTAGTCTGGGGACCAGCCTGGGCTACTCCATTGTTCATCAGTCTACCTAATCAGAAGTTGTCAATGAAGGTTTGAAATGTTGATTTCGGTTGTCATGATAAAAGGCTCGGAACACAATGCAGGGCTAATTTCCTCCTCCCTCTGCATAAAAGGACCTACTAGTATTACATTTCATGTGGGCTGTGGCCTAGTAAGTTTTCCCTGTGTGATATAAACTGTTGGGAAGCCAGTATTATTTGCTCTCTCGAAGGAGTCAGCAAGCTCATGTGGACCTTACCTTATAGAAACTCCCAGATTATCCACCCAGATGGGAAAATAGAAATGGTCTGCCACATACCACACCTGCTTTATTCTCCTGGGTGAGGCGGGGCTACATGTGCTCCTGATCACTGCAACCAAACCCTTGACTCAGGTTTTTTTGTAGCATGTATTTTTCCAGGATTTTGTTTTTTTAAGTGAATAACTTCATATGTGAGTTCAAGGCCTGCTGGAGCTGTAGAGTGAGTTCAAGAAGTGTCAAGAGCCTGGAACTGTGGCACACGCCTTTAATCCCAGCACTCATGAGGTAGAGGCAGGCCCACCTCTTTGAGTTTGAGGCCAGACTGGTCTACAAGAATAGAATTTTCAATTGTGTTCTATTACTTTCCAAACTAAGAAGGGTGTTAATTGCCAAGCACAGGGCCTGGTATACTGCAGGTGCTCAATATTTGCTGAACGAACAAGCACGTGATTGATTTTGTTTTATTAAACTCCAAGACAGTTCAGTCATCCTGCACAAAAGCAAAGGGTGAGGGACTGCCTTGAAAACGTGCATCCTCACCTTTCATACTCTAAGGATTAGGTAGTTTGGCCTGTGTTGTCACCATTCAGACTTTTCACTACAGCAATAGGAAAATGAGAAAACACTAAATATGCTCCAAAATTCTTTTTTTTTTTTTAAATTTAAGGACTGGAGAGATGCTCAGTGGTTAAGAGTACTGGCTGCTCTTGCAGAGGATCTAGGTTCAGCTTTCAGCATCTATCTATATGGCAGCTGTCTGCCCTCTTCTGGCCTCTGTGAGCACTGCACCCATGTGGTGCACATACAGAGCAGACACACACACACATAAACACAAAGCTTTCAATTAAAAAGTTATTTATTCAAAAATATTTTCTACTAACTCTGATTCCATATCAAATTAAGGAGTGATGTTACACAGAATTACTGCTCATTATCTATTCAGAGTGACAGACAAATTCATTTATTTCACAAATGATTCATGATTAGTATACAGTACTTCATACCAAAAATACTTATAAACCTTGTCTTGTATTTCACTTAAAGATTTAACTAATATAAAATGATACTGGCTTTAAAGAACATACAAGCAATTATTTCCTTTCTTCCAAATTCAAGGGTGTGATTGAAGTTTATTTACTACCCACATACTAGTTCAGAACCACCTGAGGGCTAGGGTGTGGTTTAGTGGTAGAGCAGTTGTCAGGCATGCACAAAGACCTGAATGCTGCCTCTAGCACCAAGAGGGAAAACCCTCCTGAGACTGCCAGTGATTAAGATCTGCTGCAGAGACTGCAACAGAAATCCACAGAGCTCCACAGGCTTAAACATGAGTTTCTGACAGGTTTTCAAGTTCCGAAGTTCAAATTAATATCCAGAATATAGGCATTAAAAATGGCATTTGGAGGGTGGCAGTGGTGGCACACATCTTTAAATCCCAGCACTCAGAATGCAAAGGCAGGTGGATCTTTTTGAGTTCCCAAGTTCCAGGCCAGCAAGGATGACATGGTGAGACTATCTTTTCAAAAAAGTCTCGTGGAAACACATACATTCAAAGGTAGTATTCTTAGCATTAAATATACTGGGAAAGAACCAGTCTTTCTTCTTTTTTCTTGCAGAGCTGGGGATGAACACAGGGTCTTGTGCTGCTAGGCAAGCACAAAGCCATAGGCCAGCCCCAGTTCCAGCTTCTTTGACAGTTTAAGAAGTCAATCTTTTCTCAACAGTTTCTTGGTAAGCAACAAACCTTCTCAAATTCATCCTCACATTGTCGAGAACACACAGCTGATCTGGGCTATATTTGCTCCTCCCTTCTTTTCGTATCTGCAGAGAGGGAGAGAGGGGGAAGAGAGAGAAAGACAGGACAGACGTACACACAGAGAATATCACGTGACTTGAAATCTACTACTAATTAATTTAAGTATTTACCCATTTAATAATTAAGACCTTTTCAAGAATTTGGCAAAAGTTTTATTTTCAGATTAAACAGAATATGGTACATGAAGAAAGGTAAACTGGGAATGCGTACTTCTTTTTCTTTCTCCATTTTCATGTGTGTGGGTACACATATGTGGGCACACATGCATGTATATGTGTGTGCATGCAGAGGCTTGAGACTGATGTCAGGAATCATCCTCACCACTCTTATACCTTATTCATTGAGGCAGAGCATTTACATATTTATACAGTTTCAGAGATCCTAACTCTGGGTTCTCAACACTCCTGAGCCATCTCCCCAGCCAGAATGTGCACATTTAAAGTGACAGTTACAAAAGTGAGAGTCATAGACGAAACGATTACTATTTATGGCATGCAAATAATATCTCACCTCTAGCCTAGAGCACCAGCCCTCAAGTTTAAGTGTTGCAACAGTGTCACCTGGAAGGCTTCCTACGAAATGGGCTGGAAACACCCCTACTGAGATTCTGACAGGGAAGGCCAGGTGCTAGGGGCTGAGAACTCACGACCTGAACAAGACAGCAGGAGATGCTGAGGTGCTGGAGGGGAGGGTGACTTTGAGAAATTTGGTTATGGTCAGGTTCTTTAGTCCACCACATGGAACTGTATTCAAACGCAACAGAAGGCCTTTGATGCAACTGTACCTCCATTTTACACAAAACAGCTTCATATAAAAACCTGCATGTTAAGTTTAGGGATATAGTTTAATAACAGCACTTGCCTAGCATGTACAGGCCCTGGATTCCATCTCCAGCAATGCAATCCAAAACCAAAACCCTTCTTACTCCAAAACTGTATACAAGCCTCTGGCTAACAAAGAAATTTTACTAGGGCTTTCCACCTTTGAGGAAAAACAAAACTCTCAGTGAAACACTTACTATAGCGACATACACCAAATAGGAAAATGAACCAAACAACAGCCTTTCAGAAGTTTCACGGTTTATTTACTTCTGCAGAGTTTCTGTTCTTACTCATTTTTGAAACAGCATCTCATTACATAGTCCACGCTGGTCTGGAACTCACAACTGACCTCCCTCAAGCCTCCAAGTTCTGGGATTATAGGCTTGTCCCACCACATCCATCTGCAGAGTTTTGGTGACCCTCCCTAAATCTGCTTTCCTGGCAGCTGCTGAGAAATCAGGGCAACTTGGGTCTTATCTATTGGCTCATTCTGCAGAAGCTTTATTAAAGGGCTTTTAACAATGTTCTGCTTTATTTGTGTTTTCAGTCAATACTATCTGGAACCTGAAAACAGGTTCCAGATAGTATTGACTGAAAACACAAATAAAGCAGAACTATGACTATATTACACTATCTTTTGTATAATAAAGGAAGAAATCCTAGGCACATCTGTCTGCTGAAAGAAACAGCACTCAACTTGGTTATCTATGAGGCAAGGAGTTAAGTGGGAATAAGACCTTGCACCGCTCACAAAACAAAAAACACAATAGGCTTGAACAGAACATCAGTAAGAGTAAACTTTTTTTCCTTCTTCACAATTCAGTCACTTACTGGGAGAAGTTAACTCAATAAACAGTATCTACTATTAATAAGCTTTAAAATGTAACATGCCAAAACATGAAAACGTGAAAAGCAAGTATCAATGTTCATAAAATACTTCAGATGTAACAGTGACAGAGAATGTGCTTGGCACACATTGCTATTATTCTTTTCTTCTGGGAAAGGAAACTTATATGCCTCAGGAATTTACAGGAAAGCCAGGCATGGTGGCATACCCTTCTCCTGCCTACTCCAGAGTGCAAGCCAGGAAGATTGTTTGGGGACAGGAATTTGAGAAAATGGTTGCTTAACATGTGAGAAGCCACGGGTTGGACCTCAATGGTACAAAAAATATATAAGATCATCACAGAGTTCCCTCCATAAGAAGTAAATTCTGGATTAGGAGTTTGTTTAGAGATAATATAAGGGAATAATGACTGGAGAGATGGCTCAGCGGTTAAGAGACTGGCTGCTCTTGCAGAAGACTGGGGTTCAATTCCCAGCACTCACATGATGACTAACAATCTACCATCACTTCAGTAGAAAATAAAAATAAATTACCCTGCATGGCCCTTTTCCCCAGAGCTGCTGAGACCTGAGTATTTATTTTTTTAAAACATTTTAAATTTTATTATTTTAAAAATATTTATTTATTACTTTTATAGAGTGTACTGCCTCCGTGTATGTGAGTGCACCTGTGTTGTACAATGCCGTGGGGGTCAGAGAGGGCTTTGGATTCCCCAGGAACTGGAGTTAAGGATGGTTAGTAGCCTCCATGTGGGTGCTGGGAATCGAGCCCGGGTGCTCTGTAAGAGCAGTCATTGTTCGTAACTGCTGAGCCATCTCTCCAGCCCCTTTTAAATATTTAAAAAATATATTTTATTTATAGCCGGGCATGGTGGTGCATGCCTTTAATTCCAGCACTCAGGAGGCAGAGGCACTCTGTGAGTTCAAGGCCAGCCTAGTCTACATAGCAAGTTCCAGGCCAGCCAGGGCTTGTATAGTAAGACGCTCTCTTATAAAACAAAACAAGGGGCTGGAGAGCTGGCTCAGCTATTAAGAGCACTGGCTGCACTTGCAGAGGGCCCAGGCTCCATTCCCAGCAACCTTCCAGAACTCCAGTTCCAGGGATCTAATGCCCTCTTCTGATCTCTGTGGGCATTCCATGACACTGGGTGCACCTACATACATGCAGGCAATATACTCATACAGTTAAAAAATAAAAATTATAAATAAAATATTTTAAAAAGAAAGAATAAGCTTTGGCTTCAGATGTTTCAACCAGTTGAGGGAAGAGGAGCAGATGACAGGAGATGGAAACAAGGGTAGATTAATACACATAAACCTCACAAAGTATGCTTGATGACTGAGATAACATTGGAAAAAGAACCCCTGTACACTGTCTAGTACTTACCAGATAATAAATACTAATATTCTTCCCTTGTGGACCCTTTTTCCTTCCTACTATTCTACACAACCACCTCCTGTTAGAAGAGACAATTAAAATGACTCTCCCAAAGTAATGTCTTCCTCTTAATATAGCCCACAGCATATAACTTTCATTCTGTTCTGGCCAGTTTCTTCAAATATCTGCACCTCTCTTCCAGTGTTTCTACTTAGAAATAATGAAATAAACAATGACTAAGGAAAAATGCTATTAAGAATAATACATGTCCTCTTCTTTTTCCCCTGTTTAATACAACTATACTATACTGAATTCTCATACAAGGGATATGAAATAAAATGAGCTATTTCCAGACAACCAATCTTTGGTGCAAAAAAGAAGATTCTATAGTACTTCTTTACTACATTCCTTTTCACCATCTGCACTAGCCGAACACTAAATGAAAAAATAACGATACATTCCTCTACAGTACTTTCCTGCTCCCAATACCCCCCCAAAACTTCCAGAAGCTAAATCTTTAAGACTTCAGTTATTCTACTGAGCTGTAAATTTTGTATATCTGGGCTACAGCACAAAAAAACTGTATCAGGCAATAACCAAGAAAAACAACAAAATTTATTAATTTTATTTTACGTCTATGAGTGTATTGCCTGCATGTATCGACTGCTGAGCCATCTCTCCAGCCCCGAAGACCTGAGTATTTATAAAGTGGTCACAAACCTTCATTTTGAAGACTGGCTGAAATTCTTTCAAAGTGGATAACAATTTAATTTGAACCGAGGCCTTTTCAGCTTCTTCACCATCCGCAAACACATCAAAGAGGGCATCCAGAGCTTCTCCTGCTACCACAAGCGAAGGGTCTTTGGTGGCAACCTCAAGCAGGAAGCACCCAATGGCCTGAAAACAGCAAATCAGCTAAGTAAGGTCAGTCTCCAGAGTGAGCATTAACGTCAATGTAGCAACAGTGTGTGCATTCTATTCTATGCAAAATGTCAGAGAAAATGAAACCTTTGAAGGACTGAAGACATCACAACTACCTACAAACATGACAAGCACGGCAGGTCAAGGCAAGCTAAGCAGAGTACAGTCTAGATTCTTACATACAGTGAAGATCCAAACATGACATGAAAAAGTAGTTTTGGAAATTACTAAATCTTTCCTTCTTTCTCCCTCACAAAGGCTTCATGTTGTTAAAATGCATAGAAATCTTATTTGCAACCACAAAAATCTGTTTTTAAAAGCATATTAAAAAATTATAAAACTAAAATAAATAAAAAAGCAACAATTTCATCTTGTTTGGTTCATTTATTTTATTTTATGTGTATGAGTGCATTGCCTACATGTATCTGAGTGCACCTGTGTCATGCAATGCCAGAGGTCAGAAGAGGGCTCCAGATTCCCCTGGAACTGGAGTTGAGGATGGTTTGTAGCCGCCATGTTGGTGCTGGGAATTGAACCTGAGTCCTCTGTAAGAGCAGTCAGTGCTCTTAACCGCTGAGCCATCTCTCCAGCCCCCTTCTTTGGTTTTTGACACAGGGTCTCATGTTGCCCAGGCTAGTCTCAAACTTATGATGGAGGAGAACCTTAAACTACTGATCCTCCTGCCTCCATCTCTGGAATGCTGAGATTACAGGTAATCTGCACCAAGCCTGACCACTATGTTGATTTTTAACATTGGCACTTTCTCTTCCCTCTACAATTAGCAATATGATGAGAACATTCCCAATCCTTGAAGAAGTCTTCCAGAATAAGCTGGTTGTAGTTGGCTGTTATGCAAGGTGATGTAAGGCATTAGTAAAGGACAGGGAAGGAGGAAGGAGTTGCTCAGAACAAAGTCCAGCTGTACTATGAACAATGGCTACTCAGTATACTTCTCTGGGTTCTAATTTTCTCTTTTATTGGGGGGGGTGTCTTTTTTTAAAATCATTTTTAATTTTTAATAAAAACATGCTTAGAATAAGCATTTCATCACAGCTTTAACATATTCAGTAAGACACTCCAGAGCAAGAGTACATCTTTTTCACAAGTGGGTGCAAGTTTCTAGGTTCACAGTTGAATTAATACAGTTATACAATATTGAACTCTGTATAAGCCCTGTAAGACATAAAATTGAATGAGTTTTTAACCTTTAAAAAATATCTCCATTTCATTTTAGAATATATTGCTCCTTGCAGACAGACTCATTGTTTTTGCTCCTAACACTGAGATGCTGGCGCATGCGTCTCTAATCTAATTGGCTGTAAATTTTTAGGTTTACAGTTGAATTATTACAGTTATACAATATTGTACTCAGTATAAACCATATAAGACATAAAATTAAATGAGTTTTTAACCTTTAGAAAAGATCTCCATTTCATTTTGGAATATATTGTTCTTTGCAGAAAGACTCATTGTTTTTGTTACTAACACTGAGATGTTGGCACATGCATCTCTCATCTGTATGTATCTGATTATTACTAGTCATAATCGGTTGCACTTGGATCCTTGGCACCTGGGTATGTCTATAAAGTCACTGGGTAGATTTCAGTGGTAATGTTTGTCCCCACTTCTAATTAACATGACATAAATTTCTATTCTTCCTCCTCAAATATATATATTTTGGTTGTTTTGAGACAGGGTCTCCCTGTAGCCCCAGCTGTCCTGGAACTCACTATGTAGACCAGGCTAGCCTTGAACTCACAGAGATCCACCTGCCTCTGCTTCCTGAGTGCTGGGATTAAAGGCATGTGCCACCACGCCTGGCCCCAAATATAATACATTTTTTAAAATTTGATTTTTTTGTGTGTGTATCACACAGAACATCCCAAACCATCTTATTCAACTATAGACCCACTTTCCAGATGGCACCCTCCCATAGCCTCCCTCCCCAAACTAGAGTCCTTATACTCTGATATCTCTGCTACTGCCTGCTGTGCTGTGGGCACCCCAGCCATTCCCCACTACTTGTCCATCTGGTGAATCTAGTCAGCCTATCTAGAGGTCTTTGTTTTAGGAGGGTCAGCTGTTCCTCATCTAGCAGCAGTCAGTTGTCAATATTCCTTTGGATAAGATTAGGGTCTGCTGTTCATTTCCCCAGTTCTACGCTGGATTACTATCTGGGAGTCCCTTTGGCCACCCTGGCCAACAACTCAAAAGAAGGTATCTCCTATCTGGCATTGTTGCTTGTTATGTAGCCTTTAGCTATGCATATGGACTCTTTAAAAATTATATTGGCCCCTTTAATCTTTGGTTCTATTTTCCTTTTGGGTGTTTAAGGACATACCCTTGGCTCAGATAAACCAATTTATTTTTACTCTTAAGGTCATTTGAGGATCTGTTCCTCAAGGGTCACATGGGCTTGGGAGGAGCTCCTGGCTCCTTTTTTTACCAGTTCCACCTAGGTGAAGATAAGTCAAAGGTCCTGCTTGACCATGGCTGGCTTCGCTTGGAAGCATGGAGGAAATGATTCCTCTGTGTTGACCCTCCTCTTTGTAGACTGGACATTGGTTCAAGTCCATCTGGTGGGTCTCCTCGGCCTCCTTGATCAAGAGGACAGGTGACCCACCACAATTACAGGACATTTTGAGAGATGCTCATAGTCCCCTGGAACTAGTCGACCTAGGAGGGCAAGGAGCAAAAACTGTCCTTTATGTCCCTCTGACCAAATTATTATAGGCCTCAAAGTATGTCTGTTAAACATCCAAGGAGGTTAGTTCCACCAGTCTGGTACTTTTAATTACTGTGTGCCATGTAGATAAATCTTGGGCAAAGGCCAATTGTTCTCAGATAAACCTTACCTAGACATATATTTCTTGATCAGCTATGTATAAGTTCTCAGTAGGTTGTTGGAGTAATATGGTTCCCTCTGGTTTTTAAAACTAGCTAGGCATTATTTATCTCTCGCATTATCTCACCCCTCCATCATGGTTTTCCCACTTAAGGTGCCCCCATTTCCCCCCTTTCTCCCTTACTAATACCCTTCTCCTATGGTCCTACCTCTCTTGAGCTCCTTCTTTCCCTTTATCCCCTAGGTTCCTTGCATACCCTTCCCTTCCCCCTCCCTTAAACTAACTCAATTTTTATCCATATCTCCCTTATTAAGGCCTGTTTCCTACTGTTCTTCTCTTTCAGGTTCTTTCTTTTCCTTTACCTCCCTGGTTCCTTTCCATTATCCTAGTTGCTGTAGTTATGTCTGGATACATACTCACTTATCACGGTTTGGTTCTAGGAGCCACATATGAGGGAGAACACATGTTGATTTTTTTCTGAGTCTGTGTTGACTTAACAGTTTCTAGTTCCATCCATTTACCTGCAAATTTCATGATTTCATCTTTCTTTACTGCTGAGAACTCCATCCTATAAATGAACCACACTTTCATTAAATACTCATCAATTGAGGGACAATTAGGTTGCTTCCATCTCTTGGCTATTGTGAAAAAAGCAGCAACAAACATGGATGTACAAGTGTCTCTGCAATAGGATGAGTTTTTAGGGTTTATGCCAAGGAGTGGTATAAATGGGTTAAATGCTAGGTTCATTTGTAGTTTTTAGAGTTCTCCACACTGCTTTCCATAGGAGTTGAACAAGTTTGCAGCCCCACCAGCAGTGGATGAGTGTTCCCCTTTCCCCACATCCTCTCCAACATTTGGTATCATTTGTTATCTTGATCTTAGCCAGTCTGACTGGGGTAAGATGAAATTTTAAAGTGGTTTTAATTTGCATTTCCCTAATTATTAGTGATGTTGAACATCTTTTAAGATGTTTCATAGCCATCTTTACTTCTTCGAGAACTCTCTGTTCAACTCCTTAGCCTATCTTTTAATTGGGTTGCTTCTTGTCTTGATTCTCTATTTTTTGTGTTTGTTATATATTCTGGATATTAAACCTCTGTGTCGGATGTGTCGCTGGTAAAGATTTTCTCCCATTCTGTGGGTTTTCTGATCGCTTCCCTGGTTGCCTCCATTGATGTACAGAAGCTTTTTAGTTTAATGAGGTCCCATTTGTTTCTTGACCTTATTTCCTGAGCAGTCCCTGTCCAGTTTAGAAAATCTTTTCCTACACCTATATCTTGTAGGTTATTGCCAATGTTTTCTTCTAACAGTTTCAGAGTTTGAGGCTTCACATTCAGGTCTTTGACATATTTGGAGTTGACTTTTGTGAAAGGTGAAAGATAGGGGTTTAGTTTCATTCTTCTACAGGTGGAGATCCAGTTTTGCCAGCACCATTTGCTGAATATGCTGTCTTTCCTCCAGTGAATATTCTTGGCCCCTTTGTCAAACAACAGGTGGCTGAAATTGCATTTACTCATATTTGGGTCTTCAATTTTTTTCCATTGATTTATGGGTTTATTTTTGTGCCAGTACCATGTTGTTTTTAAGACTATAGCTCTGTAATACAGCTTAAAATCTGGTATAGTAAAGCCCCTAGCATTGCTCTTAGTGTTCAGGGTTGTTTTGGCTATCCGAGGTCTTTTGTGCTTCCATATGAATCTTAGGATATTTTTTTCCAATTCTGTGAAAAATGGCATTGTATTGAATGTATAAATGGCTTTTTGTAGGATGGTCATTTTCACAATATTAAATCTTCCAATCCATGAGCATGGGAGGTCCTTCCATTTTCTGATGTCCTCCTCAATCTCTTTCTTTAAAGATTTAAAATTTTCATTGTAGAGCTCTTTAATGTCTTTGGTCAGGTTTATTCCGAGATATTTTATTTTTTTTTTTGCAGCTGCTATAAAGGGGAGTGTTTCCATGTGCTCTTTCTCTGATTGCTTGTTATTGGTATATAGAAAGGCTACAGACTTTTGTAGGTTAATTGTGCAACCTGCCACTTTACTGAACGTGTTCATAATTTCTAGGAGTTTTCTTGTGGAATTTTTGGTGTCTCTTAGATGTAATATCGTATCATGTGCAAAAAGGGATAATTTGATCTCTCCTCTTGCAATTATTACTCCTTTAATTTCCTGCTCTTGTCTTACTGCTTTTGCAAGAGTTTCAAGCACTATGTTAGAAGTGGAGATAGTGGACAGCCTTGTCTGGTTCCTGATTTCACTGGGAATGGTTCCAGTTTTTCTCCATTTAGAATGATGTTGGCTGTGGGTTTGTTATATATGGCTTTAATTATGTT